GTCAAGTATATTAGTCCTAGATCATAGTTGGATCCTAGTTTATGCAAGATTTTTACCTAATTTATACTACTAGGCCATGGCATGTTGTGCATGAATGGTTTTTATAAAGATGAATGTGTCTGAGAATGACCTGAATTGACAGTTGTCACACCCTATAATCATATAGTGTACACAAATTATAGATAACTATGACCAAATATACTTTCGATTAAATGATCCTACTCTAAGTGCACAACCAAACAAGGAACAAGAAGTAGAGTTAAATCACCTATTCTAAATCTATAAACTATTATTTATTTATAACTTATATGTATACACTTAGCAGGTATAGATCTATCAGCAAAAGTTCTTTTTTTCTCATCTTTGGCTTTAGTATTATACTGCTCCTAAATACCCCTATTATAGTTTAAATGTATGTACGGTTCTAGTGTTCCTCTTCTATGTGTTGTTGTTATGTTTTAAACTTGTTGCAACACCACTCTCATTCTCATACACATATTGGTCGTATCTCAAATAAATATAGTTGATGAGACGATATTTATCCTAGATATGATTACATAACTATGTTGGTTCAACCGTAGTGTCCAACATCTAAATAGTTTTGTTTTGTTCTTCTTGTGATACTGTTTCTTCTATTTTTATATACTTGTATACTTTTTAAAAAATACTTAGATTTTAAAAGTATACTTTTAGTTCAGAGCGCTTCGTCCCCTTAGTGCTTATAGTTGTATATTATGTAAGGTTTGATATACTTAGTTTACTATAAACAATGCTCAAACACCAATCTCTCACACCCCCAAACCGGAACGGCGGAAACATTCGGGGGCGGAAGACATCGTGTACAATATCATAACAATTGTATAATAGGAATCAAAGTAAAAACAACCATTACATTGATAAGTTAAAGTATGTACATATGTTCAATACATAACTTGTATGACATCAAAATGTATAACAAAAGTATAAAAGATGCGACTCTAAATGCTCCGTCTTCTCAAAAACCTGTGGGTGTACCTGTTTTACTGGTTCCCTAAGAATACAAGTGATTTTGAAAGTGTATCAGCATTTATGTTTGTGAGTTCATAAGTATGTTTTAGTGATGGAAAACTTGTCTTTGTACTTTGAAAATGCTTGTATGTTTCTCCAGAAAATCCAATATTTTCTATAGTGAATGAAATGTATACTACTAGAAAAACAGCCTTTTACGACGCTCATTGTGCGTCGTAAAAGGCTCAGATGACGCGCAAATGCACGTCAAGAAAGGCCCTGCCATAAAGGGAGACGACACGTTTTTGTGTGTCGTCTATAGACGACGCGCATTTACGACGCGCAATTACAATGCACGTTTACGACACAAAATGCGTATCAAGGAAGGCCCTGTCATAAAGGAAGACGACATGCATTCCCATGTCGTAACCTTACGACGTTCGTGTTAATGACATGCAATGCGTATCAAGAAAGCCTCTGTCAAGAAAGGTCATGTCATAAATGAAGATGACCCACATTTTTGCGTATCATAATATTAAATGTTTAAAAAAATATTATTTATAGATTTACTAATTTTCAAATTAAATTTGTCTTTAATGTCTCATAATAGAAAATAAAATATCATATACAAAAAATACAATCCATTGCATAAAATTTAATGTCATTCAAATGATCGTTCCATGGAAAGATAAAACAAATCAATAGTTGTAACAAAAATTTACAAACTAATTAGATAAAAGATATATAAAAAAAATATACCCTCAAATGCTTTTCAAAGTCTAATCTCCATGTTAGCTCTTCAACTCACATCTCTAGTTTGTCCATGGGTGCTCTAAGGGCTCCAACATCTCTTACAACCTATGACAACATATATTATAATTTTTTTTATTACTATTTATTCTTATAATTCAAAGAATTTAGATAAAATTGTATTAGATAATACTTAGATTTTTTACAGAAAATTCACTCACCAGCTTCAACATTCTTAATGTTTTCCCAAGTGACACCTTTTTCATGTCTGTCAATTTCCATGTGCTTGTGTTGAGTAAAAAGTTCAAAAGATGTCCATCCCCAAGTGCACACAACAATTAAGGCATCTATAATTAAACATTAAACACTTTTTACAAATTTGCCCTCATAGACAAAGATAAAGATGAAGATGAGATGAGAATCATAGCCCTTCAAAGGCACAAAGAAGAACATAACATGATATTATTTTGCCACCTAGATGTTCTTAAGTGATGTGATGAGAATCATACCCCTTCAAAGGCAAAACAAGTAAGGCATCTGTAATTAAATATCAGTCCACATCCCAACTGCAGCAAGATTAATATAATTTGGATTTTCACCAATGGGTTTACGTCAAGACATGAGATATCATATTTCAGTTCTACGTGCTTTTTTTCTACTAAAACATCATCACCAATTTCAATGTAAACCAGATGGCCACCTCTAGTAGCTAATATCACTTGTTATGGAAGTTAAAAAGGCTAGTCAAACTTATTTATAAAAAGACCAAAGTACCCTTGGTTATACCTGAGTAGCATTAGCAGTGGCAACATTTATAGAGGAAAAACCTTAAAGAATGAAAATTTAATTAAATAGGGTATAAATATAATAGCAAAACATTTAGATAATTATATCTGAACAAGTTGACATACCATTCTAGAACTTCCACATAAGAGCCTATTGTATCGGGCTAGAGATTCAACTTAATAAGCTGCAATATGTAAAAAATAATGATAATAAATTAGATTACCATTTGACATTATTGATGTTAATATAATACTTTTATGTGATGAAAGTTTTTACATACCTGGGAATCTCCATAAATTGTGTCAACATACACAAATGCATTATCAAGATATGATATAGTTGATGTTATAGAAGTTTCCCCTTGAAGCTCAATTTTAAGGTCAGTAACTCTAAAACAATGAAGAGAAAATATCTTTTCGAACAATTGGGAAGACTATTTAATGGTACATATGACAAAAAGTAGAATTATAACTCACTATTCTTTCTCATGGGCAATGACAAGCAAGTGAAGAAGGCCACTATGGTCTACTAATAGACTGCAAGTTTATGACACAATACATCAGTTAAAAATGAAAATATGTTGCCATCTCAAACATGTTCAGATCTGGTATATTTATTAAACCGATGACTAAAGCTACTCCCCCCTGATCTGTCAAAAAATGCTTCATCTCAAAGAGAATGAAGGGATCTTTCAAGGGTATTTTGGTCTATTAATAAAAAATGATGAATCAATGTGAAAATAAAGAGAATCAGGGGCATTAGGGGCATTTTAGGCATTATATAAAGAGAATCAGGAGCATTAGGGGCATTTTAGGCATTTTATATCAGGCAGAATCAGGGGCAGTATAAAAGTGGATTCTACTTTGTTTACTTGTAGTTATCACTATTATAATGTAGAATGAAAAAGGAAGTAAAGTAAGATACTTTGATGATTTCCCAAATTCCCCTGATGCTCTATACTTGATGATTTCCCAAGTATGATTAAACAGGGACATTAGGGGCATTTTAGGCATTTTATATCAGGCATTTTAGGCAGAATCAATCCACATAACTAGCATTTAATCATTCTTTACTCTTATCCCTAGGAAAATCTGTATTATCACCTTCCATTCTACCTTTTATATCCTCACCATAATCACTACCCACATCTAACTCATCATATTGTGTCCAAAAGAAAAGGTAAATCAGTCTCTCAAGTCCCATCTTTCTAGATGTTGTTTAAAAATAATATATATATATATATATATATATATATATGTGTGTGTGTGTGTGTGTGTATATATATATATATATATATATATATATATATATATCACACATACCATTCTTTCAGCGCTCTGAGAAGGTGATGACATTAGACTGGAAGCTCTTCTATATGGAGAACTACCTTTCTTTGAAGCTTCTGTCAATGCCATTGCTATGTTGTAATTGTGCTCTTGTCTTCCAGGTGAACATTATTTCAAGCAAATCACAGTACCATGCTTGGATTACATGTACCAACCACAAAATGAAATATGAATTCATTTAAGTTTTTAAAAAGAATAGGTAAGAAATATTGAGGCGAACAATCAATTGGTAGAAAATAAAAAAATGGTGATCATTAATTGGACATCATTAACATCAAAAGGCCTAAAAAGGATTATATGACAACTATATCTTCATTAGCAACAACCTGTTTACTTCAATAGCAAAAATTATAAACACAATCTGAATGAAATTATAAAGGTCAACAGAAGCATACAGGTCTAGATGGAAAATACAATGATGAAAGAAAAACTTCCAATTAATAGTTGAATATTTGGCTACCAATTAAGTAAAACAAGCCCCTCATCAAAAATCCCCTTGACAAACTGACACTACATGTAAGTTAAAAATTTAATTGTGCAGATGTAATGCTGACCTAGAGGTTCATCTTTTGGACATTAATTAGTTCCCTTTCTTTCCTTCTGATACATTTTATAAGGATCTTTCTTTTTCTTTCTTGAATATGTATTAAGCAGAGGAAGAGCCCAAGGAAGCAGTAATGTCATCATTGACGTGGTTATCTCATGTCCAACTGAACCTGTATCACTCTTGTAAGAATTATCACTCCCAATACTAGTACCAATAATCATCTCATCTTTTTCCTGTGACTCTATTACACATTTTTTACAAACTAAAATTTGCACAACATTTAACTTTTCATTTATTGAACATTTGGTTTCTTCAGGGATCACCTCTGCATAGAAAATTGTTGGCATCTACTATACAAACAGCCAAAAATATGGTGATAAATTTCTCAATGTATGTCAATACCTAAGGTTGAATCCAAAGTATCATGTGCATGGAGACCCAAATCATCTAATATATGTGAATCTTTTTTAGCTGGTGGGTCACCCTATTCATCTGTTGATTTCATAATTTTTTTTATTTACTAGACAATGCTTAAGAATAAGCATTCGATTAAAACACAAACAACCAAAAATAAGGTAACAAAATTAGCAAAGAATATCAATACTTAGGGCTGGATCCAAAGTATCAGGTGCGTAGAGGTCCACATTATCCATCCTCTGTGAACCTTTATGAACTGGTGTGTCTCCCTTTTCATCTACTGTTTTCAAGGAAGTGGGCACTCGTATGCAGGTAGATATCAATACATCAAGCTGTGAAAAAGCATTTATGTGCAACATTAACTAACTACCATTGAAATTATGTATAATCCACCAAATTGGAGTAGAGATAGCTAGTTAGGATGACAGTTACATTTTCCTGGTTTTTGAACAAGTTGATACCTTCTTTGTGTCACACCCCCAAACCAGAACGGCGGAAACATTCGGGGGCGGAGGACGTCATATCCAGTATCATAACAGTTCATAGAAAGGAAAGTATACACCACCATACATATATAAAGGTTTTAAAAATGTTTACATAATTGTATTCATTACATGTTCAAAAGATAAATACATAAACATCTTTCAAGAGAAGTAATTAACGCCAGCGCGTTAATCCCAAAAGTTGATTTCCAAACTTGCTTAGCGGTTCCCTGAGAATACAAGTTATTTCAAAGAGAAAGTGTCAACAATTAAGTTGGTGAGTTCGTAAGTGGTTTAGAAAAATTGAATGCCATTCAAAAATGGGTGTATGTTTTCCAAGAAAATCCCTTCATTTCTTATAAAAGTATGAAATGCATGAGAGTATTTGTGTTTGAAAAATGTAGATAGTCGAACCAAGAAAATCCCTTATTTTCCTAATAGTTGTTTAACTTCCAAGACTAAAATTTGGAAGCAAGCCACATGATTTTAAACATAGATCTACATAATAAACCTATCAGAGGATTCTCGTTTGTTAGATAAAGAATAGTTTTAATAGCTACTCGTTCATCAATCAGAAGTACTATAATAATGGTGTATCCGATGAGTTTTAACCATACTAAACATAATGTGCCTGTAGCGACGTTCTTCAGGCGTCGTAGCGTTATGACAACTTTCACCCCAAAGGACGGACTATAGCTAACAGTCAAGGCGCGGGATCATGACTTCCCGTATAGATCTATACACATTTGTCACGTTCTCCTAACGGGAGACTCTGGTTATAGACAGGACTTGTAGCATTACTTTCTATGAAGAAAGTAGTATTTTAAGATATACACGTCTCATGGATTCTCAACTAAGTCTATATTAAAGTGATAGTTTTGTATGCAAAGTTTATCCTTTTTCACAATGTTTGACAAAGCGTAAAACATAAGTTTTTAGAATGTATAAAATGACTTAGCAACGAAAGGTACTTTGAAATCACTATATACTTTGTATAAGTCTAATGCACGCAAAGTATGACAAGAGTTTTCCATAGTAGTAATGAATTCCAAGTGGTTTATTCGATAAAACAAGTGAAGTGAAACTTTATAAAATACACGATAATAACCGTATGTTTACTTGTATTCCCCCCCTAAAAGAGTATAAAAGCATATAAAATGTATTTAAAGTGTGTCTGAAGGGGGTATGCACTCACTTGATAGTTTGAAGAATGTGTGATGAAAATCGAGCGTTACTTTGGCTTGAAAAAGCGGATTTTCTCGGGATTTCTCGGGAGTAAAATCGACCTTCGGGACTTGCACAAAATGACCAGGGCTTCGGGGTAGTGTGAGCACGGAAAATGAGGAAAAACGCAAGAAAAGTGAGAGAGAATGAGAAATTTTTCCGGGAACCCTCGCATCCCTTTTATAGGAGGCTGGAACCGCCTCGGTACGCGGGGCGTACGCTCGTACGTGGGGTGTACACGTACGTCATGCATGACCGAGTCCTCGACTGCCTCGAACTTCGGATGGGACGGGGGGTAGGCTCGCATAGGGGCGACGTGGATGATCCGAGGCCAAGGCCTTGATTACGCTGGGCGTACTCGTGTACGCAGGGCGTACTTGCATGACTCAGTTTTCGACATTCTTTATATCCACGCGTAGGTGAGACTAAGATCTACAACTTTCGTTTAGATTCCGTCGGCAAATTCCAAAATTATTTTTATTATTTATTTATTAAAATGACGTGATTAAGGAATTTTTTAAAAATTCATAACTTTTTCACACGATGTCCGATTTGAGCGTTCTTTTTATGCACGTTTGTAGTTTAACGATATCTATGACTTTCATTTAGCCACCTAAGGTCAAAAAGTGTTTTATTGAAACTTTGCGTTTTTACGTAACTTCGTATCGCTGGTTTTTGTCGGAAAACTTAGAATGGTCATAACTTCTTCGTTATAACTCGGATTTTTGTGTTATTTATGTAACGACCCAAAAATCACGACCAAAAATTTCTTTAAAAGCATTACTAGAATCTTATTTATAAAAACTGTATCATAAGTCATAACATAAATTCTCGAGTATTCATTCGAAACATAATATCATTATCAGAGTCGAACATTCCCAGGCTAACTGACTACGGTGTGAGCACTGCAATCTCCCCGAGCTCCTCTTTTGAAAACTAGGTACCTGAAACCAAAACTGAAAACCGTAAGCACGAAGCTTAGTGAGCTCCCCCAATCTAACACATACCATACAAAAACATATAAAGCACATACTGGGCCTTGCCCACTGCATCGGACCAATGTCCGGACTAACTGGGGCCTTGCCCCCTACATCGGACCGAAGTCCGGAAACTGACTGGGACCTTGTCCCCTGCATCGGACCGAAGTCCGGACTAACTAGGGCCTTGCCCCCTGCATCGGACCAAAGTCCGGAAACTGACTGGGACCTTGTTCCCTGCATCGGACCGAAGTCTGGGCTAACTGGGGCCTTGCCCCCTGCATCGGACCGAAGTCCGGAAACTGACTGGGACCTTGTCCCCTGCATCGGACCGAAGTCCGGGCTAACTGACTGAACATAGCATAGCATAACATATCAACTAGCATGAGCACATATACTGCATACTACATCGGGCCGTAGCCCGGAACACATAACACATAACACATAAAACATAGCACATAAATCCTGTCTGAGCCACGAAGGCATCAAACATACTAACTACTGCATCGGGCCGAAGTCCGGAAACTACTGCTAACTGGACGGGCCGGCATTGTGGCCTTAGACCCGTCCCTACTGGAAGGAAACTCACCTGAGACTACTGAATTGATGCTGCTAATCCTCTTGACTGCTACTTGACCTCTGACTCCGAACTGCTGCTCCACTAGCTCCTCAAGCTACCAATATCAATATAACACTTAGTCCGACTGACCTCCAAAGGTTTCTAGGTCAAATCTGGTCAAGGTCAAAATCCTGGTCAAAGTCAACCTTCCGGGTCAACCCTACTCGCCGAGTCTATCTACTGACTCGCCGAGTTCATATGCCCTGAGTCTTTCTTATTCGCGACTCGACTCACCGAGTCAATCCATGACTCGCCGGGTCCAACTAGGTCCAATTTCTGTCCTGTCCAACTTGCTGAGTCACCTCCCGACTCACTGATTCGGGTCTCGACTCGAAGGGTTTAGGGTTTCGCGATCTGACTCGCCGAGTCCAAGAACAGACTCGCCGAGTCCTAGACAATCTTCAACCAACTCGTCGACCCAACTGTCTACTAATCCGGATACAAGAAGCTATTGTTGGGAAGTTTCCAACCTCCCCACTCCTGAATCTACGCAACCTGCATGCTGCCTCATACACTGGCTACTAATACAAAACATCTCTTGTTGCCCGCTCTCGGGTTCCTCATTCCACTCACTTGAGTCTTTACAGGTGGTCCTCAAATCCTGGATTCCTAACCAATTTCTAACCATCTCCATTACATGAACCCACTGCTGGGAAAAGTTCTCGAACTCTCAATTCTGAACTTCTCAATCCATCCAACACTGTGCTACTACCACTTCTTCTCAGAGGCCGCGCACTCATCCTGAGTGACTCTTATCCATGTATACCCGGAGGGTTCTCCCCCACTTCGATCCTGCTTACCCCTTGCTGCTTCACATTCAAAAGAGATCCCGACCTTAACTACCATTCCAAAACTTCTACTGGGGAACCCAAGCCCGCCAGGTAGGAATTTGACCATTCCATCCAAACCACTATCCACTCCGAACTAGCGAAACGAACCAGATCTCTCTCTACCATGCTACAGTTACTGCATCCTCCGAAACTTATCCATATGAGCACATCCCCTAACTACCAACCAATTATCCGAGGTATGAAAATGGCATATGACGTAATCACAAGCAAGCCACTCCATAACACAACACTTATACCACAATTGATGCAGAAACCATAACAATATAATCATAACATAAGTTGACAAACACAAAGTTACATACCTCCATTACTCAGTGCTGCTCGAATCCCTGCAGAAATCTACCGGAGAAACTCGGCTCTGAGCCGTAGGCACCCTTGCCCGGCCTTGACAACCACTGACGGTACTTGAAGTTCCAAGGGCAGGAGCTGGCGCCTGCCCTGCTGAATACAAACTCGGATAGTGGGCCTTCTTGTGGCCCCTCTGACTGCAATGGAAACACAACGGATCAAGTCCCTGGGCGATGGTAACAACACAGTCTCTGCTAAAATGACCAATCTGGCCGCACTTGAAACACCCAGCATCGCCACCACTTCTACACCTACACACACCCATATGCGTCCTTCCTCACTTCCCGCATCGACTGCGGCTCTGATAGTTCCTCATCCTCAAATCTGAACTCTTGGGCCTCTTACTCGAACCTGTGGCAACCTGAGTCTCACCCATTTTCCTCTTCCCTTCCGACTCCCTGCCCGACTCTCGCTCCTGTGTTACCCCAACGGTAACGTCTGCTGACTGAACAACAGATGTATGATCCTGAAGCCTCGCTATCAATCTATCAGTGATCCTCACAACCATGTCTGGCAGACCCTCGCGAATAGCTCGCAAAACTTCCTCAACTATCCAATCATGCAATGGTTTCTCTTGGAGATAGAATGCCCCACACACCCCTGCCCCCTGATAGCAGAAACTAGAAATGGGATCTCCCTCCCTGATGGATCCCTGAACTCCATAAGATTCGGGACCTAGACGAGCCCCAATCTGTCCTGAAACTAACCCGGCCCTAAAGGCCTCAAGATGACTGTCCATGAGCTCCACAATAGCCTCTCTAACTGAACCGAAAATCACTGGAGTCTGATCGATGATGTTGCGCATAATCTCTGCGGAAATGAAATCCCTCATCTGATCATCAAACTGCCCGGCTCTAAAGCCCGAGCCAGACCCCTCCCCTGCACCTGAACTGCCAACTGATATCTCGCGCAACGTCACCATGCTGAAAATATAACAATCCCTGATCAATTACATACTACTGCTGAGGGATCTCTCACATACTCTACTAGTTCCTTGGTTTCGCCTCGGCCCCTCTTGAATCGAGTATGGATCCTCTGCTTTCAGTAGTATGGGCCCCTACTACCTTCCACATCTATCTGTACTTCCTCAAGAGTTACCTCAACTCCACCAAGTCCCCTTTACTCTTCTACTGATCTCTGCTACTCTCATCCTAGGCCTGCCCTAGGGAACCTCTGACTCTACTCAACCAGTCCTCAGCTGCTGAAGGCCTCCTAGTAATGCCAATTAGTCACCACCTGAATACCATCACATGTGACGAGGCTCAGATAATCCTTTAAGTAAAAGACTCGTCCCTACAACGGTTGGACTCAAACGAGAGCTGCGCAGTAGGGCCAGATCCAGCACTCTGAGATTATTTAACCCTGATCACATGTGATGAAACGTATTCACCTAATGGATAACTCTCATCACTCAGAGTCCCACAAAGCACAAAGAAAGCAGCATTCGGATAAGGGAAACATACTCAGGCAAAACAATTCTCATAACAAGAAACTGCACTAGCATATAATGCCAAGCTTATACTTTCAGGCATAGCCTACACAGGCTATCCTACTACTGTCTACTCATTACTAGCATGCAATTCTCATCAAGCTGGAACACATAAAGCAGGCACATAAGGCATCATCCTAGATCCTTAGTCCTACTCTAGCATGTTGTTCTACTGAAGCTGGAACTGAAACTGAACTGAAACCGATACTGAAACTGATATTGAAAACAATAACATAACTTGTATGGGTAAATTGGGAGTACTTACTTGAGCTCGGCTGATTGCATTCACCACACCCTTTTCTCGTTTTCAAAAAAAATCTTTTCTTTCTATGTTCTTTTTCTAAAACCCTTTTTCAAATATGTTTTTCTTTTGAAAATCCTTTATCGTGTCCTTAGTTTGAGTTCAAATACACTCGAATGCATATCTGAATCCCTCAAACCAAGGCTCTGATACCAACTTGTAACGACCCAAAAATCACGACCAAATATTTCTTTAAAAGCATTACTAGAATCATATTTATAAAAACTGTATCATAAGTCATAACATAAATTCTCGAGTATTAATTCGAAACATAATATCATTATCAGAGTCGAACATTCCCAGGCTAACTGACTACGGTGTGAGCACTGCAATCTCCCCGAGCTCCTCTTTTGAAAACTGGGTACCTGAAACCAAAACTGAAAACCGTAAGCACGAAACTTAGTGAGCTCCCCCAATCTAACACATACCATACAAAAACATATAAAGCACATACTGGGCCTTGCCCACTACATCGGACGAATGTCCGGACTAACTGGGGCCTTGCCCCCAACATTGGACCGATGTCCGGAAACTGACTGGGACCTTGTCCCCTGCATCGGACCGAAGTCCGGACTAACTAGGGCCTTGCCCCTGCATCGGACCGAAGTCCGGAAACTGACTGGGACCTTGTCCCCTGCATCGGACTGAAGTCCGGGCTAACTGGGACCTTGCCCCCTGCATCGGACCGAAGTCCGGAAACTGACTGGGACCTTGTCCCCTGCATCGGACCGAAGTCCGGGCTAACTGACTGAACATAGCATCATAACATATCAACTAGCATGAACACATATACTGCATACTACATCGGGCCGTAGCCCGGAACACATAACACATAACACATAAAACATAGCACATAAATCCTGTCTGAGCCACGAAGGCATCAAACATACTAACTACTGCATCGGGCCGAAGTCCGGAAACTACTGCTAACTGGACGGGCCGGCATTGTGGCCTTAGACCCGTCCCTACTGGAAGGAAACTCACCTGAGACTGCTGAAATGATGCTGCTAATCCTCTTGACTGCTACTTGACCTCTGACTCCGAACTGCTGCTCCACTAGCTCCTCAAGCTACCAATATCAATATAACACTTAGTCCGACTGACCTCCAAAGGTTTCTAGGTCAAATCTGGTCAAGGTCAAAATCCTGGTCAAAGTCAACCTTCCGGGTCAACCCTACTCGCCGAGTCTATCTACTGACTCGCCGAGTTCATATGCCCTGAGTCTTTCTTATTCGCGACTCGACTCGCCGAGTCAATCCATGACTCGCCGAGTCCAACTAGGTCCAATTTATGTCCTGTCCAACTCGCTGAGTCACCTCCTGACTCACTGATTCGGGTCTCGACTCGAAGGGTTTAGGGTTTCGCGATCTGACTCGCCGAGTCCAAGAACAGACTCACCGAGTCCTAGACAATCTTCAACCAACTCGTCAAGTTGTTCATCCAACTCGCCGAGTCCATGCCTAACTTCATCCGACTCGACGAGTTGTTCATCCTACTCGTCGAGTCCCTCCTCATCTTCAAGCTACTCGCCGAGTCCACTCGAAGGACTCGCCGAGTCCACTCGAAGGACTCGCCGAGTCCATTCGGTTCTACATACATGCAGAGGACCTTTGAGTCATGCATGGACTCCAAACTGTAGATCCACTCTTTTAAGGTCTATTCCTTACGTAAAGTTGCAGACTTTACGTGTAGAGAAGGAGATCTAGGCAAGATACGCCATTAACTAGGGTGTAAGGCCAAGGGACTTCAAAATCGACACAA